AAGAGCATGTGCATGCGTGCCCAAAACCCCAAAAGGAGAAATGCAGGAGAAGTGATTGCAACGTGACCATCTTTCATGGGGAGTAATTTCTCACTTTCACTCTCTCTGTCTCTCTCCAGAAAGTGCATGCACCCTCTGGCAAATTAAAGAAAGAAAGAAAAGTATGCCGGGTGTATGTATACGTGTGCCCAAAGTCCTGACGACACGGAAGCATCTAGGAAAAGGGATTGTGACGTGACCATGCCCCATGGGGTGCTTTTTCCCTCTCTGTCTCTCTCCCTCTTTGGTGAGCACACAAGCCCTTTGGCAATTAAGAATAAAGCCTATGGCATGGTGGTTAAGGCAGCTGAGTCACACAGGGCCAACTGCACGGTTCGAGTCCTGGACCCGGTGCCTTGAGACCTACACTGAGAGCATGTGCATGCATGTCCAAAATCTTCAAAGGAGGGAGAAATGGAGAAGGGGTTGTGGTGTGGCCATCCCACAGAGGGTGTTCTCTCACTTTCCCTCTTCTTCTGTCTCTCTGGCAAGTACATGTGCCCTCTGGAAAAAAAAAAAAAAGAAAAGAACAGAAAAACATAGGAAAGATCCAGGATGAACAAAGTTAAGCTTTAAGTAAAGACTGAGTTAACATTCCTGAGCTTTCCTTTGCCCCAGACTGCAATGCGACATCTGAGCCTGTCCCATGACCATCTTGTCCGACCTCGCTCTGCCTGGCAACTTAATCTATAAAGCCAAGGCAATCCAGGTGCCTGGGGAGGTTGTGAAGATGGAATCGGGTAGGAAACAGCCCCAACGTCATCCACAGGAGAAGGGCTTGATGGAGACGGTGTGGCCATACAATGAGGGCAGTCAGCCGCACAGAGGAATGAAGCCGGGACACGTGCTGCGGTGACCTGGAACCCATGAGGATAAGTGAGCAAAGCGACACATGGAAGACACATGTGGTGTGAGTCCATTTATAGGTATGCCCAGAATAGGCAGATCCAGAGACAGAAGTCTGATCTGTGGTTGCCAGGTGATCAAGGCAAGGCAGAATGGGGAGTGACTCTTTTTGTTTTTTTTTTTTAGAAGTTTTTGCCTTAGAACATATGCAATCTCTGGAGAGAAAGAGACAGAGACAATGAGAGGGAAAGTGAGAGCCTTCCCCCCAGGGGGGATGGCCACGTTACAATCCCTTCTCTATTCTCCGACTGGGATCGTGGGCACGCACGCACACGTACCTAGTGTGAGTTTCAAGCTACCAGGTCCGAGACTTGAACCACAGGAGGCCATTTGGAAATCCAGAGATATAATCACTACGCCGTCTGCTGGCCCTAGGGAGTGACTTCTTATTGGGTATGAGGTTTCTTTGTTTAGAACTAAATCAACGATTGCATAATATTGCAAATGTACTAAATCTCACTGGATTGTACATTTTATTTATTGTTTAGAGACAGATTTTTGCCATAGGGTATATATGCTTGCCAGAAAAACAGGGAGAGACAGAAAGCAAGAAACCACCGCTGCCAGGGGGGATGGCCATGCCACAAACCATTCTCCTCCATTCTCCTCTTGGGACTTTGGGCATTCAAGCACAAATGCCTGGTATGAGTTTTAAGCCTCCGGGTTTGGGACTCAAACTGTGGTCTACTACGTGGGAGTCCAGTGATGTAACCATTACATCATCTGCTGGTCCCAAATTGCACATTTTAAAATGGTCAATTTTCTTAAAGGTTTTTGTCTTAGGGCACGTGTGCTTGCCAAGAGAGACAGAGAGAGGCAGTGAGAGGGAATGTGAGAAATCGCCCTCTAAGGGGGATGGCCAGACCATTATCCCTTCTCCTCCATTCTTCTCCTGAGATTTTGGGCACACATGCACTCATGTCCGGACTGATTTTCAAGCTGCCAGGTCTGGGACTTGAACCATGGTTGGCCATGTGGAGTCCAGAGCCTTCACTACCACATTACCTGCTGGCCTCAAAATGGTCGATCTTAATTACAGGTGAATGGTAAATTTGCTACCACAATAAAGATGAAAAATAAAAAGATTAAAAGACAGTAAAAGAGTGGGGCCGGCAGGTGGTATGGTAGTTAAGGCGCCTGGACTCGCACATGGCTGATCATGGTTTGAGTCCTGGACCTAGCAGCTTGCTTTCTCACTTTCCCTCTTTGCCTGTCTGGTCAACTTCAAAAAAAGTACAAATAAAATAATGACAATGAATTTTTTTTTTTAAAGCAGTACAGTGGTAACTGAGCCCACATAAAAAGGACCCTGTTTTGCAACCCAAAGTCTGCATAAGCTCTGGGTGCCCAAGATCAGGGATGGCTGAGATTGGGAGTGAATTGCAGCATGAGGTCATGTTGAGGATGTCTCTCTCTCTGTCTCTGAAAGAAATGAATAAATAAACTTTAAAAAAGCAATAGATGGGCCCGCAGGTGGTGTAGTGGTTAAGGTGCTGGACCCCCACATGACTGGCCGTGTTTTGAGTCCTGACTCTGGAAGCTTGAAACTCACATTGGGCACGTGTGTGTCTGTGCCCAAATCCCAAGAGAAGAATGGAGGATAAGAGATTGTGATGTGACCATCCCCTCTAGCAGGTAATTTCTTATTTTCTCTGTCTCTGTCTTGCTGGCAAGCACATGTGCCCTATGGCAAAAATCTCTCTCTCTCAAAAAAAAAAAAAAAAAAAAAAAATAAAAAACACTGAAAAAATAAAAAAAAAAAAAAAAAAAAAAAAAAAGCAAAATAAAACACTGGGAAAAAGCAAAAAAAAAAAAAAAAAGAAAAAGAAAGAACGAAAAGAAAAACACATAACTTGAAAATAGCTGATATTATGATTATTATAAAGTCTTATAACTTGAAAATATAGCTGATATTATGATTATTATAAAGTCTTAAGAGTCTGAGATGCAGAGTCCATAGCTCAAAAGGAAAGGCTTTTCTGGTTTGGGATTTGTCTTTATTTTGTTTTTGTTTTTAACCTGTCTTCCCTGGGGTCTCTCACACTGCTAGTGCAGGCTGGGACCTGCTGCACTGAAGGCAGGACTGCTGACCGCCAGTACCCTGCCAGGGGCACCCTCGGTCATTGCCCTCTACTGCCCTGGGACATAAACAACCCAGAGAACAAAGGCCTGCAGGAAGTCCTCATGCTCCTGGAGAAACGGAGCCAGTGCACGAGGCTGCCCTGCCCGGCCATGAGTGGGCACTTGGGCACTGCGGGGGCCTGGGCTAGCCTGGCAAGGCAGTGGGTACACGCCTGCACAGCTGAGGGGAGGCCTCATGACACTTGCAGGTGTGAACCCCTTCTGCAGATGCCCGGGGAAGTCGGCTTCCTCTTGGAGCCTTGGGAAATGGTGGGGCGCAAGTCCGTGCTGTGCTGGTCCTGGGCAGTGCTGGGCTCTGAGTAGGAAGATAACACAGGGCTGGGGAACCCCTGAGAGAGGCCGAGCAAGACTATTTCCTGGGCTCTTCCCCGGGGCACAGCATCCTGTCCATATCCCAGCAGCCTGGACTCCGATCCGGCTCCGGGCTCCGTTGCAGGAGGGAATTGAGGGGACAGCACTATTGCCACAGTCACCACAGGGAGTCTTGGCCCCAGCCATGGAGGAAGGCACTGCGTATTGCAATTTTTGGAAAGACAACACATTCCTGTGATTCCAGATTCAAAAGCCGCAAGAGTCCCCAAGCCTCGCTCCCTGTCACCCCATTCCTCCCAGAGGCAGCTGTGTTCTTGTGCGGCACCCAGAGCTCTTCAGTGTATACTGGGCAGAGTCTATAGGTAGGACTCTTCACAAGGCCCGCTCCCTTTATCTCCTTGGACCCAAGGGATCATGGGCCATACATTGGCACAGTGCGAATGCGAATAGACTCACATGGGAAAGGTCCTGGGTTCGCATCCCAGGACCTCCCTGAGCACAGCAGGCACACATGCACATGAAGGCTAAATGCGGAGATCTCTGATCTAGAATATCTCACAGAGTGAGACACACAGCTCCAGGGGAATCCAAGACGCTGTTACGTGGTACACAGGTGAACATGAAATACCACAAATACCACAGTGAGGACATTAGGGCCTTCCAAGCTTTTAAATCACAGCAAGGGAAAGGTCAGTGCTGGAGTCTTTTCGACACCCACAAAGCCCTCTATTTTATTTTATTTTATTGTAAGTTTATTTCGTCTGAGAAAGAGAGAGTGGGAGGGAAGCAGGCACCCCAACAGGTGCGGCTTAGCCCCAGTCTCAAACAGTCTGGATCACAGACTATGCATGGGTGCCCAGTGGGAAGAGGGGGACCCTGGAATATGAACCTGGAACCTTCCCATCAGGGTCTAGCATTGCATAGAGTGGCACTGCCACTCTGCTACCTGGTACCCCTCCTTTGTCAGTTGAGTTTTAATTTACATGCAACATCAGGCCTCAAACTTAGGGTCATTGTCAGGAAACAATATTTAGCTAGGATTGAATGTCTTTTCTCATATTTATTTATTTATTTATTTGTCATAGGGCACGTGCACTTGCCAGAGAGAGACACAGAGAGGCAGTGAGAGAGAACGTGAGAAATCACCCCCTAAGGGGGATGGCCACATCACAATCCCTTCTCCGCTCAGGATTTTGGGCAAGAATTCACACATACCCCCAAGTGATTTTAAAGCCTCCAAGTCTAGGATTCGAACCACAGTTATCCATGTGGAAATCCAGCACCATAACCACCATGCCACCTGCTGGCTCTGAATATCTTTATTTTATGGTTAAGTTTTGCTCTTTAATTATAGCAAATAAAAAATAGTTTATTCTTAGAGACATTTGCTTATATATTTTAAAAGAATAATTCTAGAACATGTATTAAATAAATGATTATTCAGACAATATAAGATGACAAAAATGGTACAGATGGTTGAGGGGGTGGACAGAGGGGGGATGCCCTGGTCAGACATCCTGCTCTGACCCCAGGAGGCAGCTGGGAGGGTGGGCAGGAAGGAGGCCAATCTCTGGGGCCAGGAAGTGCCTTGCGTCCCAAGGGCTGAGTGGACACACATATACGAGCTCCAGGCAGACCAGCCGGGGCCACTCATCCAGTGCTGCCCAAGAGCCATGCTTGCCACCACACTCCTGACCCTGGCCCTGCTGGGCAGTGCCCACGCCTGCTCCGATGGCACCTCGTATGAAGCCGGCATTGTATGCCGCATCACCAAGCCTGCTCTCCTAGTGTGTAAGTACCAGAGCCCACCTCTGTCCGTGCATCCATCTGTCCAGCCAGGGCGTTCTCAAGGACTCCTCCCTGGCCAGAAGCTGGCCCTGGCTCTGAGATAGGCTGAGTGAAACCATCCTTAGTGGCCTCACCTGCAAGGTGAAACACGTCAGCGAGAAGCCCTCGCTGAGCTGTAAACAGCCAGGTGTGGGGGTTCATGTTTGCTTGAGACTCAGAGTCAGTCTGGGCTTCCAGTTAAGGTTCAGAGCAGAACCACGTCGGGAGGGCAAGTTAGTGGGTGAAGGTCGGGAGTTTAGTGTGAATTTGGTGTTGGGCCAGAGTCGGGGGGTCAGCAGAGGCTGGGTGGGCTCCATCACTAATACTGTGTGACCTTGGTCAGCTCCCCTCCCCTTTCTGGGTCTCCACCTCTTGCTCAATACCATAGAGCATGAGGAAGCTGAGTAATGTGGTCTCTAAAATAGAACAGCTTCTGATTATAGGCTGTTTGTTTTGCCAGAGGAAGGCTGTCTTGATGAGGCTGGGCTTAGCCTAGGCCTGGGTTTAGGGGCAGCCATTGGACTTGAACCATAGGGTTTTCTATGTGTGAGGATCCAGAGGCTATCATGTGCCCAGGATCTCTGACTGGGGTCAGCAGTCAGGGCTCTCCGTGTTCTCTGAGAATTGCCATCCAACTTACTCGCAGTGAGGCCCAGTCTACCTGCTTGGCTTGGAGGCCCTCTGGAGGCCTCATCCCGGTGCATCTGAGCCATAGCCAAGGTTAGGGAGGGCGTCAGAGGCCTGGGTCTGGGCTGCAGCCCCTCAGCCACTTCCCTCTCTTCCAGTGAACCAGGAGACTTCCAAGGTGATCCAGACAGCCTTCCAGCGAGTCAACTACCCAGACATCAAGGGCGAGAAGGCCATGATGATCCTTGGCCAAGTCAACTATGGACTGCACAAGTGAGTCGGCCTCGGGTGTGAACAGGCAAGGGGCTGGGAGGAGCGAGAAATAGCCCAGGACGTGCTCCTTCGGCCCTCAAGGAGGAAGGGCAGCCAGGGGAACTCGGGCCTCTCCACCTGACTTGGCCCCAGGGGTAAAAGCCTGCCACATCCACACCCCCTACCCCCTGCCATGCTTCTTCAACCCACCCCACCCCAGTGCTGCTGTGAGGACTTACCAGAGACTATCAACCTTTGCAACAGCTCCAAGAGATTCAGGCCCTGAAAGGCGCTTTCTCACAGCTCTAGGAAGACGGCGGTCTTATTTGGGGTGAAGGGTGGTGGGGTAGAGAGATCTCTTGGCAAGATGGGTTTCCTGACTCGACTGGAGATGACAGTGACAGCCCAGGGCAGGCTAATATCTCACTTTATCTTGATCATACCCCCAGTGGCTTTGCTTAACAAGTAAGGACACAGGAGCTCAGAGAGGGTATGCGGCCTGGAGGACACACAGCAAGCCAGGCAGTCAGTCTCAGTCCTTGGAACACAGCCACTTTCCTGCCACCTCCGCCTGGGTCCTGTCTGTGTGTGTGTCTGTCTGAGGCCCCAAGGGTGGGACAGACACCATTGAGGACCTTATCTTTGTCTTACAACCAACCTTATCCTCCCTTAAATTCCCTAAACATGCTCAACGTAAGTGGACTCTTAGGCAGAAAAGTTGGAACAGTCTTTGTGGTAGTGGAGCCACCAGGGGGCGCTGGCAGTGCTGGAATGCGGCTTTGCTTTCTGTAAGCTAGGGGTTGGAAGCTGGTGCCGGATTCCTCCAGTCCGGAGCAGCCCTCACTCTCTCTGCATGACCTTGGCCGTCAACCTTCCCCTCTGTAAAGTGAAGGTAACACCATTTTAGACCTAGGCCAGGGCGCTGATGCCCCCTTCCATCTGCTCTCCCAGCATCCAGATCAGCCACCTGTCCATTGCCAGCAGCCAGGTGGAGCTGGTGGACGCCACGTCCATTGATGTCTCCATTCAGAACGTGTCTGTGATCTTCAAGGGGACCCTGAGCTATGGCTACACAGGGGCCTGGGGGTAAGCATGCCCACCAGCTGACGTACCACTCCCTGGTCCTCTCCAGTTTGGAGGCTAGAACGCGGGTCCTGTCCTTGGCTCTTTGCAGATTGAGCATTAATCAGTCTGTCGACTTCGAGATCGACTCCGCCATCGACCTCCATATCGACACACGGCTAAGTATGTGTCCGGTGTCTTCCCGGGAGGCAGGGAGGCCAGACTCCAGGGCTTGGCCTTAACAGAGGAGAAGGTTATGTAGGCAGAGAGTGCGAGGCCACCAAAGGAGGTCTGGCCTGGGAAGAGCATGAGTTGGGGGAGCCCATAGCTTGCCAAGCTCCCGGCTGGCCTAGGCAGCCCATGGGCACTAACGGGCAGCCGGTAGCTGATGCTGTCTTGACTTGCTGTTGGGGTCTCTCTGCAGCCTGTGACTCTGGCAGTGTGCGGACCAACGCCCCCAACTGCTACCTGGCCTTCCATAAGCTGCGCCTGCATCTCCAGGGAGAGCGCGAGTAAGTGCACTGCCTCTGGGGCTCCTGTCCTGCTAATGGGTCCACGCCCCTCCAGGGTCAGCACCCCCTAACCCTCCTCATCAGTGTACCCTCCAAGGCTGGAAAAGTAGTACTAGCCAACGGTGACTGAGAGCATGCCATTCCCACGCATTCGTTGATTTAACCCTTATAGCCCAGCCCTAGGAGGTAGAATCCATGACCGTTTTTACATCCAGGTAAACTGAGGCATAGGGAGCTAGGAAGGAAAAAAAATGCGTATCAGCTGAGTATCCCCTGCCTCCCAGGCATCACACTAATTCACAGATAAAGCTCTAGCCAGGCGAAGGAATTTGCCTCACTGGGGGTGGGTGGGTGGCTGGGAGAGTGGGAGAGGTGGAGCAGGATTTGAACTCTGCATACTCTGACCCCAGAACCTGAGTTCCTGAGTGTTCTACTTTCCTGCTTCTCAGGCTGAGACTCTTTGGCTGGGCCAGCTCCTCTGTCACGGAGCTGTGCGTAGCCCCATTGCACAGAGGAAAATACTGAGGCTCAGAGAGGCCCAAGTCACACAACCAAAGCAAATATGGAATGCAGGAGGGACCCGATGGGGAGGGCTGGGGAGAAGCCCTCCACTCTGGGCTCACTTTGCCCCTGGAGTGCACCAGTGTGAATCCAGACTAGGCAGGTCCGTACGTGCGCCGGGTGAATGTCACAGGAACTGAGATGGCGACGTGGTTAATGTTCAGGTCTGAGACTCTGAGGCTCCGTTCTCCATTGTGAAGTGGGGGTCATTGTGAGGGGGCCCGGCACACAGTAGGTGCTCAAACACACACTGGACTGGCCAGGTCTCACCACAGTGCTCATTCCCTTCAGGCCTGGCTGGATCGAGCAGCTGTTCACAAACTTCATCTCCTTCACCCTGAAGCTGGTCCTGAAGGGACAGGTGAGTGAGAACAGCTGACCCCGCCTGCAAGTCAGAGTCATGCCTAGGGGGCTGACCACCTCTGCTCCTTTCCCTTTCCTTT